AGTTTTTCTGGAATAATATACATTCAAGATTAATCAGAAAAAAAATTGAAAATGAAGAGTAAAAAAAGAAGGAACTATCTTAGCAGACACTAACGCATTAAAGAAAATAAAAATAGTGTGGTGCTAACGCATGAACAGACAGATAGATAGAACAGAAAAGAAAGTCTATAAATAAACCCAAGTATATATAGGAATTTTGTACCTGCTGTAGAAGGTATTTTAGGTCATTGGGAAAATGATGAATTATTCAATAAATGTTTTGGGACAAGTAGGTGACCATCTAGAAAAAAACAAGGATCTCTATCAATCTCCTTACATTAAAAAAAATCCCAGGTGGACCAAAGGTGTAACCATGAAAAAAACCCAGAACATTTCTAGAAGAAACATAGGACTTTAAAAAAATCAAATCTGAGAGAAGGGAAGACATTTTAAAAGCATGACAGAAGACTCAAATACTGTAAGAGAAAAGATTGACAACAGAAATATCAGAAATTTCTGTGTGATAAGAAAAGATCTGTTAAAGTTAAAAGGCAAATGACAAACTAGAAAAGATGTATGCAAGACACATCACAAATGGTTAATCTGTTAAATATATAAAAGCTCCTACACATAATTTTTTAAAAGATAAGTTACCAAAAAAAATTGGCAAAAGTCATAAAAAGTAAGTCCCTAGAAAAGATAATCCAAATGTTCCTATACACACACAAAATGTGTCACCTCAATTAAAATCAGCAAAGTATCATTTCACCATTTTGTTCATGGTACCTGAGGTGTGCCTTATCTTACTGGGGAGACAAAAGACATACCTTTGTATTTACTAGTCCCAGAAATTTCAGCAATTTTTAATTTTAATTTTGTAAAGCCAGGAGTTGCTATGTTGTCCAGGCTGATCTCAAACTCCTGGCTTCAAGCAGTCCTCCCCACTTGGTCCCCCCAAATGCTGGGATTACAGACATGAGGCACCACACCCAGCTAATTTCAGCGTTTTAAATGCCCTAGTTGGGCAATTTGGATGAGTCTTCTTTTGGTAGGCAGACTAAGTCCATTTCAAATATGAATTTCCACAATGTCATTTTGCAACATCTTTTTTAGCACTAGTGTTTTCAGAGAAGGAAAATACTCTTTAGCTTGTTTCTCTGATTTACTGTGATGGAAATATCTCTTGACTCTAATAGGTGTTCTGAGAAACATTTCAATATGTAAATGTTAGTGCAATACATATTTCAGAATAATATGCATTACTCTTTCACCCTTTTATTTCTGTCATTTTGCACAGCTTATTATTTTCTTCTTCAAAAAACAACTAACAAAAATTTCTGTTTGTGCGTATGTGTGAACAAGATTTGGGCAGAAGGGTGGGTGTGTGTGTCATTTGAAAAAAAATCAGTCTAATGGTCTTGTGAAGTTTTGACCCATTCTTCTGAAAATTAAATGATACTATATAGCACTCAGCACAATGCCTCCTATGAGGAAGGAGCTCTGTGTTGATTATTACTATTATTAAAAGAACATAAAAAATCTAAAGAAAGAGATACCATTATTATTCACATTTTATAGCTAGTCAGTGTTGGAGCTATGTTCAAACCATATTTTTCAGATAATGAATCTATTGAATTTACCTAGGGTTTGGAAATGCAGAAATGCATAATAAGATGAAATTAGGTTGCCTGTATAATGTGGATCTACAACAGCAAGGATGGAAGATAAACAATATAGTGCCATGCAAGAAAGGTGGAGAAAAAAAATGTTGTTGATGGTTAATATTATGAGAAATAGTAATGTTAATATTTATTAAAACAATCAATAACATATTCTAATTGATTTTAAAACCTTTCTTTAGTCTGTCTCTGGACAGTTTTTAGAATGGCTGAGAATTATGGGTGTTCCCTCACTTATGTGTAAGAAATAAACCAGGAATTTTAGTTTTTGAATTTTATTTGTAAAGTGTTGTTTCACATTCAAGGGCACAGGGTTGAAAGGAACCTCTAGCATTAATTGGGGGTGTTCCCTTATTTCTGGCAGAAATGTGACTGAACAATTCCTAAAATGATGTATTATTAATAATTCAATATCAAAATCTGTAGGAAAGAAATTCCACAATTTTCATTTGTATTAACTCAGTTCTGGGTTTCATAATTCTGGCTGTTAGGAAAGTTTTCAAATCCCTTAAGGGTATAGGCTTCCAACATAGCAGGTATCATTAACTTTACTAAGGCAAACACAAGTTAAATGCAATGAATTGGCCCAGAGATTATGGATCTAATTAATCTTCAAATCTTACAGATAATACCAATCATAGAACATTACAGATAGTAGATGCCAAGTATTATAAATGCTTATTAAACTGAATTGAACTGGAAAGCAGGGAAAAAGCTGTCAGGTTAGCAAAGAGCATTAATGACTTGAGGCTTCACTGCTGTGTCATACCTGCTCATTTCCTGACATGAATACTTGGATTCTGTTAAAAAAAAATTTATGCAGAACAAGAAAAATGCTGACTTTTCTATGAAGATCATTTGATGATTCATTCAACAAATATTTATGGTGCACCATGTGCCAGGTACTGTCCCAGGTTCTGAATATTTTCAACTATATTGAAAATATTGAAAACATATGCTCCTATGTTTTCAATCAGTAGTTCCCAACCTTTTAGGTACCAGGGACCGGATTCATGGAAGACAATTTTTCCATGGGTGTGGGGAGGGGTGAGGATGGCCAGCCATGGGTAGCAGCTATAAATACAGATGAAGCTTTTCTAGCCTCATCTCCTGCTGTGCAGCCTGGTTTCTAATAATCCACAGACTAGTAGTGATCCACTGCCCAGGTTTAGGGACTGCAGTTTGAACTAATAGTGTGTAACCATAAGAATCTGAATTGATTCCAGGTAAACTAACTAAAAGTTTCTGATATGAGAGTTTAATGAGCTCATGAATGTGGTCACATTCACTAACATCACTAATCATATAAGAGTCCCTTGACAACATCATAAGGTCACCTGCACTTCCCCATCGAGAATCTTAAAAGTAGGGAGTTAATAGTGACTTTAAGAAAGATAGTGTGGTTGCTAGAAAGAATAACAGACTAGGAATTCAGAAACTAGGCTTTGAAGTGCTTGCTGTCATTTCTGTCAAGCCACTTAATTCTCAGAATCAGTTTTCCCACCTGTAAAATAATATGAATTAGAAAAATGTTAAAGCCTCTTTCATGTCTGATAGTTTATCATCTTAAATTAATAGATCTAATTAAGGCTAAATTCTAGGAGGAATATAAAGTCTACATTATGAGTCTTGGGTCAATTCCTATTAATGACACAAAAATTTCCCTTTCCTGTGCTGTGACACCAAAACGACAATATAAAAAAAAATGTGTGTGTGTGTAATTATTATTTTTAAAGTGGTCACCTAGAGCGCCATTTTACAGGTGATTCAACCCTTCAGATGATTTGGCTACAGTGTGTATTTCTTCATTTCCTTTTGTAAATTTTCTTATCAGATGGCAGAGGGGTTGAAAAAAGACAGAGGGGAAGGGGCTGGCTAGTGTATATTTATGTTATCGGCAAAACTTAAGTTTTAAAGTTAAAAGGTTTCGACCTTCAAGGAGGAGTTTGTTTAGCTTGTAGTTCGATTTTAGACGCTCTCTGACTAACGTTGGACATGAAGAAAAGCAAATCAGGGGGAGAGAGTAATAGCTTAAGTCCTAGAGAAAAATAATAACGGAGAATTACAATCTAGATATGAAGAATATTATCAAGAAAAAAGGAGCTAGAGACTGCGATGGTGTTGAGGATTAGGCTGAGCCTTGCGTCAATAGGTGATTTTATATCCTGGAACCAAGGGAGGCCCAAGTTCTTGCTGAGGAAAGGTCTGACCGAACGATAAAGCGGGTCTATATACGTTTTAGTGGCTTTAACATACATTCTGCAAGTGAGTGACCTCTCCAGGTCACTTGATTCACTCTCAGAAAAAATTTGCAAATTAATAAATCTAAATGTTGAGATATGTACACCTTTACAAAAAAGTTATATGCAAATACCTTCACCAAAAGTATTTCATTCGAAGGCAAAGATATGAACTGTCACAGCGTGCATGTCACCGAGTTTAGCATCCCCCCGCGGTGGGCGAGGGTCGCCCCTCCAGCGCGGGCTCCGGTACCGCCCCGCACCCAGCGACCCCAGCCGGGCGCGGAGCTGGTCTCACAGGACACGCGCAGGGGGACGAGGCGGGGGCGTGGAGGCTGTTCCCGGAGCAACCAATCAGCAGCGAGGCCCGGCGGTGGCGCCAGTGACGTAGAGCCGCGCTTCCCTCCGCCCCGCTGCGGGCCGACGCTTGGCGCCGTCAGCCGAGCGGGCTCGAGCGCGAGGGGAGAGGGAGTAGGAGGGCTTTGGGGCCGACCGGCTGTCGGAGGGCGGCGGGTCGCGGGGAGTGGGGGAGTGGGCATGCGCAGGAGCTCCGCGGAGGGCGGGGGAGGAGGGGCCGAGCGTGGGGAGGCGCGCGCGCGCGCACGAGCGGCCCGCTGGCGGCCGCGGGTGGAGGGGGCGGTTCCTCGAGTGTCGGCGACCCGAGGGCGGGCAGGGGAGCGGCAGGTGCCGCGGCGGCCGCCGCCGCAGTGTCCTGCGGGTCTCGCGTCTCCCTTTCCTCCGGCGGAGATGAGCTGGGCCCCGTCGGGGGCTGCACCTGCCGGCTGCCCATCACCCCGGGCCTCCCGGCGTGACCTCGGCCTCCTCGCGCGTCCGGCCCCCGCGGTGCGGCGCTGCCCCTGAGAGGGAGCGGCGGCGGCCTCCTCCGCCCGAGTCCTCGCTCGGGGGCCGCGCGGGGACAGCGCCCGGCCCCCTCCCCTCCTCCGTCCGCGGTCCTCAATGTCTCCCCGGCGGGGAGGGGGCTGCCCGGGAGACACGCAGAGCGGCCCCCCCACGGAGGCCCGGCGGCGGCGGCGGCAGCAGCAGCGACCGGCCCGGCGCCCCGCAGCCTTCCCCGGCGGCGGCGGCCTGGAGGAGCCGCGCACCCGCCGCCGCCCCCCGAGCCTCGCAGCCGCCGCCCGGCGCCCGAGGAGAGGGCGGCAGGCGCCCCCCGGGGAAGATGAAGGCGGAGGGGGGCGACCACTCCATGATCAACCTGTCGGTGCAGCAGGTCCTCAGCCTCTGGGCCCACGGGACGGTGCTGAGGAACCTCACGGGTAATTGATGCGCGCGCTGGGGACGGGGATGCGGAGCCGCCCCTGCCCCTTTCTCCCTCCCGAGCCGGGGAAGCGCTCCTGGCCGCCCCACCCCCGTGCGCACCGCTCGGGAGCGCCGGGTCCCCGGTCCCGGCGAGGAAAGTGTTAATCGCATCCAGTCCGCGCGTGTTCCGGGGGCGCCGGCGCCCGCCACCGCCTTCCCTGAGTGGCCGGGGTTGCATCCACGACCCCCGCCTCGGCCCGGCGCGGGGGGCCTGCCTCTGGAGTACGCGCGGAGTAGCTTTGGTGCCGAGACTTGAGCACAGTTGGCTTTTATTTCGTTACCCTCCTCCCCTCCCCCTTCCACACACACACCACTTTTTGCTGTTTAGATCTTTATTTATTTATTTATTGTTTTTGGTTTAGCTTTTTTCTTTATGGCAAAACTCAAACCAGATGTAGAACTTGAATTCCTCGTTCACAATGTTCAATCTGCTTCACCGTTAATTTTTTTTGGCAATATAGATGACTAAGTAGATTATAATGGGTCAGGGGCTGGGCCAAGGTCTAGTCTAGTGCATAATGAGCATTCGCTTTATATATCTCCTCTTCTCCCCATTTCCTTTTGTCTGTCTCTCTCTCTCTCCCTCGGCCTCAGCTGCTGCTTCTGTGACATTTGATAATGTGAATTTGCCTTCATTCGTTAAGGCTTGGGACTTAACTACATGTTAATAACTACAATTTCTGATTGTAAAAGTGAGCAATAATACACATAATATTTTAATCTAATCTGTAGGTTTTCTTCCTGAAGAAACTTCTGGTTTTGTTAATGTTATGTTGAAATGCTTATATTAAACTCTGAGTTCTGAATTTTGAAAATACCCCCCAAAGACTAATATTTGCAAGACAAAGATTAAATTGCAATTTGGTGATTCCTCAGTTCCTGATTTTTAAAGGAAAAAACCTTATACTAAAGATTTAATTCTTAGAAATGTATAAGGCAGTTAATTTTGATTGAACATTAGTATTTCAAAAATGCATTGTGTCAAACTGATTAAGAGTGCTATGAGTATTTTATAAATATAATCTATGTTGACAAGATGTCCAATATAATATATAGGTTGTATATAGATAACATTTCTATAACAATTCTGTATCATACCATACTTTATATAAACATGTTCATAGAGAAAAATTTTACGGAGTTATGTACCACAAAGGACAACTTTAAGAACATTGGTTTCCTTGAATATGGAAACTATGAAATTAAGGTAGATTCTGGATTGACTTTCGAGGTTTAACTTGTAGCAAACTGTCTTTAGATGATGGTTGCAGGTCAGGAACATGTTTTTATAGTTCTGAAAACCTAAATTGACAAAGACCGTTTCATGATTCAATTGAATTTAGAGATAAACTGTTTCATCTTATTTATGGCTTTCTTTGCGTTTATGCACTGTTTTAGATTTCAAACATATGAATTCTGTTTATTGGAGTGAAATGAAAAGTAAGGACTTAATAAGAAAATGTGTTTATACAGCATCTCAGAGATATTGATGGTTCAGTTCTAGACCACTACAATATAGCGAATGTTGCAATACAATGAGTTACACATTTTTTGGTTTCCCACTGCATATGAAAGTTACATTTATACTATACTGTAGTCTATTAAGTGTGCAGTAGCATTATGTCTAGAAAAACCAATGTACATATCTTAATTAAAAAATACTTTGATCATATGAACCTTCAGGAGTTATAATCTTATTGCTGGTGGCTGGTTTTGCCTCCATGTTGATGGTTGCTGAAGGTTGGAGTGGCTGTGGCCATTTATTAAAATAAGACAAGAATGAAGTTTGCCCCATTGATCTCTTCCTTTCACAAAAGATTTCTCTAGTGTGCAATGCTGTTTGATAGCATTTAATGCACATTTTAAAACTTTCAAAATTGGAGTCAATACTCTTGAGCCCTCCTGCTACTTTATCAGCTGAGTTTTATGTAAAATTCTTAATCCTTTGTTGTCACTTCAACAGTATTCACATCATCTTTACCAGGAATAAATTCCATCTCAAGGAACCACTTTCTTCTGGTCTTTCCCTTGATCTAAAAAAAAAAAAAAAAAAAAGGAAAGGAATTGGACTACTAAAAATATATATAGAAAAAATTAGCCGGGCACGGTGGTTGCTGTGTGAGCTAGGCTGATGCCACGACACTCATTCTAGCCTGGGCAACAGACCCAGTCTCTGTAAAAAAAAAAAAAAAAAAAAGGAGAAACCACTTTTGCTTATCCATAAGAAGCAACTAACTGCTCATCCATTCAAGATTGATCATGAGATTACAGCAATTCAGTCACATATTCAGGCTCCACTTCTAATTCTCTTGCTGTTTTTGCCACATTTGCAGTTATTTCTTCCCCTGAGATCTTGAACCCCTCAAAGTCATCCATGAAGATTGAAATTAACAACTTCCAAACTGCTGTTAATGTTGATATTTTGACCTCCTCCCATGAATCATGAGTATTCTTAATAACATCTAGAATGGTGAATTTCTTTCCTTTCCAGAAGGTTTTGGGTTTACTTTGTCCAGATCCATCAGAAGAATCATTATCTGTAGCAGCTATTACCTTACAAAATGTATTTCTTAAATAGTAAGACTTGAAAGTCAAAATTACTCTGTGATTGATGGACCACATAATGGATGTTGTGTTAGGAGGCAGGAAAACAGTAATCTTCTTGTAGGTACATCTCCATTAGAGCTCTTGGGTGACCATGTGCCTTGTCAATGAGCGGTAATATTTTGAGAAGAATCTTTTTTTCTAAACCGTAGGTATCAACAGTGGGCTTAAAATATTTAGTAAATCATGCTGTAAATAGGTGGGCTATCATCTAGGCTTTGTTGTTACATTGATAAAGTACAGGCAGAGTAGATTTATCATAATTCTTTAGGGCCCTAGGATTTTTGGAATGGTAAATGAGCATTGTCTTCAACTTGAAGTTACCAGCTACGTTAGCCCCTGAAAAGAGAGTCAGCCTGTCTTTTGAAGCCAGGCCTTGACTTCTCTCTAACTATGAAAGTCCTAGATGTCATCTTCTATATAAGGCTGTTACATCTACATTTAAAATCCGTTGTTTAGTGTAGCCACCTTCGTCAGTGATCTTAGATCTGTAAAATTTAAAAATTGCTGCTACTTTTACTTCAGTACTTGCTGTTTCACCTTGCACTTAATGTCATGGAGACAGCTTATTTCCTTAAACCTCATGAACCAACCTCTGTTAGCTTTAAACCTTTCTTCCACAGCTTCCTCACCTTTCTCAGCCTTCATAGAATTGAAGATAATTCGGGCCTTGCTCTGGATTAGGCTTTGGCTTAAGGGAATATCATAGCTGGTTTAATCTTTCAATCCAGACCACTCAAGCTTTCTCCATATCAGCAATGCGAATGTTTTGCTGTCTTCTCATTTATGTGTTCACTGGAGAAGCACTTTTAATTTCTTTCAAAAACTTTTCCTTTGCATTCACCATTTGGCTGTTTGGCACTAGAAGCCCTACTTTCAGCCTTTCTTATCTTTTGACATGTCTCCCTCACTAAGCTTAATCATTTCTAGCTTTTGACTTGAAGTGAGAGACACTTGACTCTTTCTTTCACTTAACACTTGGAGGCCATCATAGGGTTATTAGCCTAATTTCAATATTGTATCTCACAGAATAGGGAAGCCTGAGGAGAAAGACAGACGGGAATGGCCTATTGGTGGAACATGAGAACACACACGGCATTTATCAATTCAATTTGACATCTTATATGGGCGTGGTTCATGGCATCCCAAAACAGTTACGATAGTTACATCAAAGGTTACTGATCACAGATCACCAAAATAGATATAATAAAAAACTTTGAAATGTTGCAAGAATTTCCAATATGTGACACAGAGATGCAAAGCAAACACATACTGTTGGAAAAATGGCACCGATGGACTTGCTTGATGCAGGGTGCCACAGACTTCACTTTGTAAAAAATGCTGTATCCGTGAAGCACAATAAAAGGCAGTATGCTCGTATATGTTAATAACTAGTTTAGCTCATCAAAGGGTATTTTGAGAAAGTTAGCTTTGGGAGCCATAGAGTAAATGTAACTTACCTCTTGGCCAGATTTAACAATATTTTAAAGTATTTAAGATTCTAATCGTTTTAGCGGCTTCCTGTTCCATCAGTCACCCATTAAGTTGATAATAATAGTCATTAATTCAGGGTTAGCTCCACTGTCTCCCAGTATGATCTTAATACTTGTCATTTGCTCATCAGACCTTGCCATTTCATACAGTACTGAGCAAACAAAACTGGGATTGAGGTAGGACTGAGGGAATGAGAACCTCTGCTAGGAAGTAACTAGGATCTGAATATGCAGAATTCTGTGTGTCAGGGTAAAAATGAAGGAAACATTAGAAATATGCTTCTTTAGTGGCTTAGTGTACCACATGTTAGGAACCACATCATTCTAAAAAGGGGCAGTGTGTAAGTGGTAACATTGTGATGTAGTTCATTGTGGCCTTCTCCATGCCAGTGACTTGGGGATCCCTTATGCATTAATATTTTTAATCATTAGTCAAGAGATGTTACCTACAGTGCCATTTACAACTTAGTCTATTAAAAAGAGGCAAGCAAACAACTCCTTCTAAAGCAAAACAACTACCATTTATCAAGTGCCTGCTGTGCATTAGGTACTTCACATGTGTTATTTCTAATCTTCCGAATAGCTCTTCAGAGCACATTTACAAGGAAGCTCAGAAAGGTAAATTAAGCTGCCTCAAATCATATAGCTTGTAAATGGCCAATCTGGGCATTTAGACCCAAGTCTTTGCCTACAGTATTGTCTTTACCATGCTACTTTAGCTACTTCCTCTTTACACCCTTCAAGCAGAACTAATTTCTTGCTTCATCTTGCTACTTCTGTTCTTTGTACATACTTCTTTTGTATATTTCAATTACATGATAATTTTTTTATGTTTTTTTTAACTTATTTTTATTTTTTAT